GCCATATACTAGCACGGGCATGATGAGTGACTTATAGAGCGCGGTTTTCGTACGTCGAGAGAGGACTTTACTCCTGAATTGCCTACTCAGTCCAAAGTAGCACTTGTTGGCAAGAGTGATTCTACGTGGGATTTCAATGCTGACATTATTATCGGTGTTAATGCTGGTTCCCAAGTAAACGAAATTCTCTACTTTCTCGAAATTGTAACTGTCAACAGTGACGTGGGTGCCAAGGCGCGAATGTGCTGACTGTTTGTTTGATGACAGGAGATACTTCGTCTTGTCCTCGTTTACCACCAGACCCATGCGCTTTGCTTCCCTATCCAACTTGGAAAAGGCAGAACAGACTTCGCGGTTTTTGTTACCGATGATGTCGATGTCATCGGCATTCGGCATAAGCCAGCAATTGCACGCTCTTGTAGTAAATTGTTCCTGAGCGATTCAGTTCTGCAGCTCTTATTATCTTCTCCAACATCAGATTAAAGAAGTCACATGACAGGGAGTCGCCCTGTCTGAAACCTCGTTTTGTGGCGAACGGCTCGGAGAGGTCTTTTCCAATTCTGACGGAGCTGGTGGCATTGCTCAACGTCATTTTACACAGCCGTATGAGTTTTGAGGGGATGCCAAATTCAGACATAGCGGCGTATAGGCAACTCCTTTTAGTGCTGTCAAAAGCGGCTTTAAAGTCGACAAATAGGTGGTGAGTGTCGATCCTTTTCTCGCGGGTCTTTTCCAAGATTTCTATGGTGGATTTGCCAGGTCTAAAGCCACACTGGTAAGGCCCAATCAGTTCATTGACGGTGGGTTTCAGTCTTTCACACAATACGCTCGATAAGACTTTGTAACCTATGCTTAGAAGGCTGATCCCGCGGTAGTTGGCGGGGTCACCTTTCTTGTGGATTGGGAAGAGCACACTTAAATTCCAGTCGTCGGGCATGCGTTAATCTGACCATATTCTGCACAAGAGTTGATGCATGCTGCATGCATCTTATCAACTCCTCGCCGCCGTACTTGAATAGCTCAGCTGGCAGGCTGTCAGCTCCAGCGGCTTTGTTGTTTTTCAGCCGCGTTATTGCTATACGCACCTCGTCATAGTCAGGCGGTGGAATGTCGACTCCGTCATCATTGACTGCGGGCTCGGGTTCTTCTTCTCCACAACTTTCCGTGCTGCTACCATTTAGTAGGGCGGAAAAGTGTTCCCTCCATAATTTAAGTACGCTCTGGACATCAGTTACTAGGTCGCCATTATTGTTCTTACAGGAGTGCGCCCCGGTCTTTAAACCTTCCGTAAGTCGCCTAACTCACTGGTAAAATTTTCGGACATTCCTCCTGTCGGCCAGCATTTCAAGCTCTTCGCACTCACGTATTTCGGCCTCTCTCTTCTTGTTGCGGCAAATACGTCTCGCTTCCCTCTTCAGATCCCTATAGCGGTCCCACATAGCGAGCGTTGCGCCCGATCGCAGCGTGGCCCTGTAGGCGACATCTTTTTTCTCTGCAGCTTCCTGACACTCCTCATCGTACCAGTTGTTCTTTCGGGCTCGCTGAAATCCGACTACTTCTTCGGCGGCGGTACTTAATGAGCGGGAAATGTGGTTCCACTGCTCGCATATGTCGGTTTGTTGAAGAGTGCTCTCTGAGAGCAGGTGTGAGAGTCGAGTAGCGAAAGCGCTGGCTGTCTGTTGTGATTGCAGCTTTTCGACGTTAAGCTGTCCTTGCATATTTGGGCGCACATTTTTTGCTGCACAGAGGCGGGTGCGTATCTTGGCTGCAACAAGATAGTGGTCCGAGTCGATGTTTGGGCCTCGGAGTGTGCGTACGTCTAAAACACTGGAAGCGTGCCTTCCGTCTATCACAACATGATCGATTTGGTTTCTCGTTTTTCGATCCGGAGACAGCCAGGTAGTTTGATGGATCTTTTTATGCTTGAACCTAGTACTGCATACTACCATGTTTCGGGCCCCGGCGAAGTCGATCAGCCTCAATCCGTTGTCGGACGTTTCGTCGTGGAGGCTGAATTTTCCGCCGGTGGTTCCAAAGATCCCTTCTTTGCCCACCCTGGCATTGAAGTCGCCAAGAACGATTTTGATATCATGACGGGGGCAGCGCTCGTACGTGCGCTCCAAGCGCTCATAGAAGAGATCCTTGGATGCCTCATCCTTCTCTTCCGTCGGGGCATGGGCGCAGATGAGCGAGATGTTGAAGAATCTCGCTTTGATGCGGATTGTGGCTAGACGCTCGTCCACCGGGGGGAACGACAGTACTCGGGGACGGAGTCTCTCTCCCACCACAGATCCAACTCCGAATCTGCGCTCCTTTACATGACAGCTGTAGTAGACGTCGCAAGGCCCTATACATTGTTTGCCTTGCCCCGTCCAACGCATTTCTTGGATGGCGGTGATGTCAGCTTTTGTCCTTACGAGGACATCAACCAGCCGGGCAGAGGCACCTTCCCCATTAAGGGTCCGGACATTCCAGGTGCATGGCCTCAAATCGTAGTCCTTTAAACGTTTGCCGTGGTCGTCATCATAAGGGGGGGTCTCATCCGAGGCTTTGCCTTGCTTCTTCACTGGAAGTGGTTTTTACGTGGCGGGTCCCAAGCCCAGCGCACAACCCATTGCTGGGACGGGGGTGGTTTCGCAACTAAATACACCCACAGACACCCGCTTGCAGCCGCACCTACTAGTGAACAGACGCTGCAGACTTCAGTGAGCCCTTAAACCGAATAAGTCAGAGTGGCCCCACCGAAGCTCCCTCTCTTTCTGCCGTGACCCAAGGCTCCACTCGGATTGGTTACCGCATCTCGCACATGAGTTGCTCACGTTGCCCAGAGTGCGCGAACGAGGACGCAAGAGTCGGGATTCAGTATAGCCATGCAACTGTAACTGCATACCCAGCGCAATGACTATACCCCATTGCACTCCATACATATGTACTTAGTCAGGCATATTTTAATACTGTAATACAGTGGCACATTACTTTACTTAAATTTCCTTTTTCCAAATTCATTTTTCAATACTTAGCTTTAATGATTCAAGGCTTTAAATCCATTTTTCAAATTCATTTTAAATATTTAGTTTTAAGCGATTTGGGGTATTAAACCTATATTACAACTTTATTCCCATTTTTTTTAGCTTTAAGTGATTCAAGGCATTAAAGCCATTTTTCAAATTCCATTTTCATTATTTATAAGCGAACCAAGGCACTAAAGCCATATTCAACTTTTAAGTGATTCAAGGCATTAAAGCCATTTTTCAAATTCATTTTTTCATTATTTAGCAATAAGAGATTCAGGGGATTAAACCCATTTTTTCAACTTCATCATCATTATTTAGATTTAAGCGATTTACGGTATTAAACCCATTTTTTCTAACTACATTTTCATAATTAAGCTGTAAGTGACGTGAGGGATTCAACCCCTTTTTCAAATTCATTTTCATTATTCAATTATTTAAATAAATACTTCAAGATGTGATTAATACATCTCTTTTTATACATATTCATAATGCCATCTTGAATTAAATGAGGTAATATACCCAATGGCAAATTTTTCTTTTTCATAAAATTTTCAATTTCCAAGTTTCAAAATGTTTATAACTAAAATAATTAATGTATCCACCTAGGTATAAGTGACTTAATACGGTGTTTGCTAAATTTTTATCGATTCAATTTTCCAATGCTTTTTATTCAAAATACCAAACTTTAATTCAACATACCTACTTTACTACTTTTTACCATATACCGATGTACATGTGTAATTGACACGACAATTATTTTATAAATACAAACAATTTTTAAACAAACTTTAGCTTTTTGCAATTGCATGTGAATATATCCCAGTTTTCCCACTGCATGAAAACGTCGCTTGCAAATTTTCAGCCGATGACCTACTGAGAAAAACATAAGTATTTTTCACAATTCTATTTCTTTTGACATTTTTATTTGAACATGGTGAGCGATAGCTTGTTTTGTAAGTTTGGGCCTCCACTTCTTTGAGATTAGCCGGTTATGAGCGAATTCGATATAGAATTTAAAGCATATAAAGCAGATTTTGATAAGATTACTAAGCGCATTTTACAAAATAGACCGTTGTCTACGAATGCGAAAAAATTAAACGAATACAAATATTCGCTTATCACAGCTTACAATAATATTTTGCTACTAGTTATTGGCAATAGTTCGGCTCATACCTGTAATCTCAAGGAAGTTCAACTTAAGTTAGCCCGTTGTAAGGAACAGTTAGCAAAGTGCTTTACTAAACTGAATTGTCGCGTTAGGATTCCACCGGATAGCTTATCGCTAATTCGCCAATCAGACTTAGCTGACTCTGACTGCCATACCTAAACAAAAGCGTCAGCGTTGTCTGGCTGTGAAAAAATTCTCATGCCCATACAATTTGTATGAAGCATACCGAAACAACGCGGCGTCAACGCTGAGCGGTTGGAAATTCCGATTTTGACAGGGCGTTAGGTATTAAAGTTGGCTGCAGAAAACGGCGAAACTGTCATTTTTGTGTTACACACAAACAAACCTATGCTTATTGTTGGTGTTATTTCTGCATTTGACATAGCGTTGACGCTTTTGTTTAGGTATGGCACTTCGGCGCTAACGCTAGGCGTCAGAAACCGTTCCGCCCAACGCTATTGTTTAGGTATGGCAGTCAGTCAGAAGAAGAGTTTAGTGACGCCAAGTCAGAAGCTTCGGTACAATTCAGTCTTAAAAGAAGTACTTCACTTCCATCATTTAAAGATCTGCTAACTGTATCCAACGAGCCGTCAACAGCTACCAGTTCGCCAAATATTTCTACCATTTTTGAGAATTTTTAGACATGGCTACCCCTGAACAGAAGAAAACCCTTTATTAGTCTTTGTGCCTCAATTATTAGGGAAAATTACAACGGAGATCCGCTAGCACTTGAATCATTTATCGGCAAAATTAATTTAATTGAAGATTTTGCAGACGAAAATTTAAATACAACTTTTATATCATTTTTGAAATCCAAGCTCGAAGGCAAGGCACGTGAAGCAATTCCAACAGAAGTCAATTCAGTCCGACAAATAAAAGATGCGATGAGAAACAGAATAAAGCCAGACAACTCGAAAGTTGTAGCTGGGAAAATTGCATCTTTACATGTCACAAATAACAATTATACGGAATTTGCTAAGCGTGTCGAGGAACTTTCGGATGAATTAGAGCGTTATTTGATCATTGAAGGTATGACACAATCTAAGGCCCATGAAATGGCAGTCGAGCAAACAGTTAACGTTTCTAGACTTAATACTCGGTCGGATTTGGTTAAATCAATTTTATCGTCAACTACCTTCAGTGATTCAAAAGACGTAGTGGCAAAAATGATAGTCGAACAAAATAATCAAGTTAAAGAGCTTCAAGTGTTAGCATTTCAATCCCGGGTAAATAGGCCAAATAGTTTTAGAGGTAGCTTCAGAGGTCACAATTTTAATAGGAACAACCATAATAATTTCAGACAAAACAATACGAATTTCGATAGGTACAATAATAACGGTAATATTAATCGTTCATCAAACAACAATAATCGAAATAATAACAACAACAATAATAGTAGTAGACGTCCAAATTCACGCAATAATGCTAATGTGCGCGCTTTAAACGTTCATGCCCCTCAGGAGCGAACACTGAGGGCGGAAGAATTGGACAATTAAAAAAATCTTTTTCTACAAAAGGCATTTATTGCTTAAATTTGAATTACTCTGACTTTATCGAATTGAAAATTAATGGGTCAAACAAATTTTGTACGTTTTTAGTCGACACGCAAGCCGACATTTCGCTAATAAAAAACTCTAGCATTGATAAACATTTTCCTATAAATACGAATGATATAATTAACATTACCGGTGTCACTTCTAATACTGTTTCTACTTTAGGTACGATTACCGTAAACTTGACTTTTACTGATTTTTACATTAAACATACTTTACATGTAGTTAACGACGATCTTAACATACCATCTGATGGTATACTGGGTAAAGATTTTCTGAAAAGTAACAAATGCGTTATTAGCTATGCAAGCAATTGTATATCCTTCTGGGTCGGCAATGAAAAAGTCGCGATACCAATCCTGCACCGAACCGAAAGCGACACTTGTATCATACCACCCAGATGCGAAGTTTATCGAATTTTCAATTTTGGCAATTCGCCAGATCCACTTTTTGTAGAATCACAAGAAGTTGAACATGGCGTATTCACAGCAAGATGCATAGTTAATAGCAGTAACCCAATTATCAAAATCATAAATACCACAGATGACGTGAAACATGTAAAGAATGTAAATATTCGGACTGAAAAACTTTCTGACTATTACGTTTACTCAATTAATAAGACCAAGACTGAAGACTCCCGAACGAACGAATTAACAAATATTTTGAAAAACCAAATCCCTACAGAAGCTAACAGCAATTTACTTGACCTGTGCATAAAATATGCCGACATTCTCGCTCTGGACAATGACAAAATGACATTAAACAATTTTAACTTAGCTTGACTGACACTGACCCGGTATATGTAAAAAACTATCGTTCCCAACGTGAAGAGATAACTCGCCAAGTTTACAAATTACTAGATAACGATTTAATTGAAGGAAGTTATTCAAATTACAATAGTCCTCTAATTTTGGTTCCTAAAAAATCTACTAATGGTCAAAAAGCATATCGTATGTGCGTTGATTTCCGCGCAGTCAATAAAAAACTTATTGCGGATAAATTTCCTCTCGCACGAGTTGACGATATTTTAGACAATCTTGGCAGAGCCAAATACTTTTCCACTTTAGATCTTTTTTCTGGATTTCACTAAATCCCCTTACATGAGGATTCACGTGATATAACTTCTTTTAGCACAGAGGAGCATATCGATGGAAAGTATTACCATTCGGTTTAAGTATAGCACCCAACTCATTCTCGCGAATGATGAGTATAGCTTTTTCTGGTATTCCACCCAACGTAGCATTTTTATATGTAGATGACATAATTGTTATAGGTTGCAGCGAAGCACATCACATTAAAAATTTAGCGAAAGTTTTCGAAACTTGTCGAAGTTTCAACTTAAAATTAAACCCAAAAAAATGTAATTTTCTCAGGCCCGAAGTAACGTTTTTAGGGCACAAATGTTCAGCAAAAGGTCTGCTGCCAGACGATTCAAAAATAGTTCCAATTAAGAAGTATACTAAACCTACTGACAAAGATGCAGTACGACGTTTTGTCGCATTTGCAAATAATTACCGAAGGTTTATCCCCAATTTCGCAACTCTGGTAGCACCTTTGAACAAATTAAGTAGGAAAAGAGTAGAATTTGTTTGGGATGAGAAATGTGATGAAGCTTTTCAAGCGCTGCGATCAGCCTTAATGTCACCGAAACTGCTACAATATCCAGACTTTACAAAGCAATTTATTATTACAGTTGATGCTTCAAAAATAGGGTGTGGCGCTATACTTAGCCAAGAACAACAAGGTTGCGATTTACCAATATGTTTTGCTACAAAGGCATTTAACAATGCAGAACAGAAAAAACCAATAATTGAATTAGAACTTTTAGCAATCTACTTTGCCATTAAACAATTTCGACCATACATTTACGGAACGCATTTTTTAGTAAAATCAGACCACAGACCATTGGTATACCTTTTCAATATGAAACACCCCTCTTCAAAACTTTCAAGAATAAGGTTAGAACTCGCAGAGTACAATTTTACTATTGTGTATATAAAAGGAAAATTAAATGTTGGCGCAGACGCACTCTCACGTATAACGATAGACGAGATAAGGGAATCAACGAAAAGTATTGTGGCAGTACAGACGCGATCAATGACTAGACGAGAAAATGAAATTACACAAAATACAGATAATAACGAAAATGAAAACCACTATTCAAAAAAGATACCGGGTATTAGATCAGAAATTACTTATGATAAAAATGATAAAATTAAAAATTTACGAATTTGTGCACATATTAAACATAAAAAACTCGAGTTACTTAATTATGTCTTTGCTAACGAAATAATGAATTTCGATAATTTACTTTCGAGGCTTGAAATTTAAGCCAGCAAACACAGAATTAAGGAGATTTAATGGCCAAAAGACGATGAAATTTTCCGTCATTTCACAAATTGCTAAAAAATCGCGGGAACACAATTTTAAAATCATTACAAATAATTTTAACAGATCCAGTCGAGACTGTGACTGAAAATGACAAAAAAATAAAACTAATGACCATTTATCACGACGACCCAACATCAGGAGGTCACTGTGGCATGACAAAGCTTTATGCGAAACTTAGAACAACATATTACTGGAAAAATATGACACGTGATGTCGCAAAATATATTAAAAATTGTCAAAAATGTTTTTTAAATAAAGTAAAACCGAAAGTTAAAGAAAAACTTGTACTAACCCCAACGCCGAATAAACCGTTTGATATTGTTGTTATCGATACAATAGGACATTTACCAGAATCGAAATATGGTAATAAGTTCGCAGTTACCATGATTTGCGATCTCTCAAAATATTTAGTTACTGTTCCAATACCAGATAAAAGTGCTAAAACTGTTGCATCAGCAATTTTTGAAAGTTTCATTTTAGTATATGGCATTACGCACTCTATAAAATCTGATTTAGGTACTGAATATAAAAACGAACTTTTTGCTGAATTAACCAAACTTTTAAAAATTAAGCATGACTTTTCGACAGCACACCATCACGAAACTGTAGGTACAATAGAACGAAATCATAGAGTATTTAATGAGTACTTACGAGCATTTTTAAACGAATCATATTCCGACTGGGATACATATTTAAAATAGTTTACTTTTTTGCATAACACAACCTCAAACACAGTTTTTGATAATAAAATTACCCCATTTGAACTGATTTTTGGTAAAAATGCTGTTTTTACCAAACGAAGTACAAAAAGTTAAAATCGATCCAATTTACAACGTTGACAATTATGCAAAAGAAGTAAAGTATCGTTTGCAAAGATCTCATGCACTCGCTAAAGAACTCGTAGCAAAACATAAAATCCAATCGAAGAAGTCATTTGATAAAAATGCACGTCCGGTACTAATTGAAGAAAAATATACGGATTTAATACAAAAGGAACCTAGAGATAAACATGGCAATATTTATCTAGGTCCTTATGTTGTACAGAAAGTAGATGGTGCAAATGTTACGGTTTTCGAAAAAACCAAAAATAAATTAAAAACGGTTCACAAAAACCGCATTCAAAAGTCACATAACTTACTTTATAATGAATTTGTGTAAAATATACAAGTAACATTCAATTTTGACCCAAAATTAATCAGTCACTTCACAAAAGATATATACAAACTATTATTATTGTTAGAATTACTCTGAATAATTAGTTAAAATATGTACATGTGTACAACAATGCGAAATAACTCATGAATTATCATGTAAATCTATTTGAAAACAAAAATTTTCATTTGGGATGAATAATACTCAAAATTAAAGTATATTTAAATGTATGTATACCTTCAAATTTTGGCTTAATAAGCCGTACAAATAAGTATTTTTATATATCATTACTTTAACACAATAGTAAAAAAAAGAAAAAATCAAATTAAGCAAAAAAAAAAAGTGCTGAGGGCCCAATAGTAGAGTACAAAGACTCACAGTTATACGTTATACCAAAAATTGAAGATATACAGCACGCAGCTGTTTTCAACAGCGGATATTTTAAATCTGGTACTTGTTGCCGGAATTCAAGTAATGGCAAAGCTTTATGTTGCATATCCAGTGCCTTATCTTCTTTTAACTCTTTCGATGCGAAAAGTAGAAAATCTCGGTTTTAGTTATTTTTGTAACTTTGGGATATCATCAGTGTTGCCGTTTTGATCCAAATGGATCAAAATGATACGTTTTTCATCGAATTTTTAAAGGATACTTTTAATTTTCAGCTTAGTGTAAATTGTGATACATTTTAATTCACAAGTCGAGGGTAACTCTTCCCATCTTAAAACTTTTATTATTTTGTGGCCACACATTAAGTTTGTTTCCTTTCATTTAACATACCACCTTTAATCTGCATATGGTATCACTGTTAGCTACAGAAAACTAACCTGTTCCCGTACTCCAGGATTTAGTCCGAAATAGTCCGAATTCGTTTCCTTTCACACTTTTATCATATATTTTGCGAACAATTTCTCACTAAATCATGGAATGCGGGAACAGGCTAATAATGTCGTTCCTTTTCCTTTTTGATTTTGAAGTTGTCGGATGTGGTACTGGGCTAAAGACAGTGTCACACGATTGGTACATTTGTACAGATTTGTTCTTTAGAAATTTGTGTTCAGCTCAATAAAATAATTTGCAAACAACACTACTCTGTAACTGTCAAAATGTACAAATCTGTACAAATGTACCAACCGTGTAACACTGCCTTAAGAATTTCATCTAGAGTAATCCAGTAAGTATTGTGAAAATTGCTTTTATGTGTTTACAGTGTTAAACACCAATTTGATATGTGATTTTAGTTGAGTATGCAAATGAATTCAACTGTTACCGGGTATAAAAGCTTTATTTTCACTCAGTATTTTATATAAGAACCAAAATATATTAATAAAAACTGTCAACGATCACAATTAAAAATTCAAACTACCATTTTAATTTAAGAATTAGAAGTTTTATTGATGATT